AATTATTTTTGACAATTTTTCAGGTGAAATTACGTTCTGGGCCGACAGTGGCTCAGTTGGTAGAGCATTGGCCTTCGAGCCTGACGGTCGTGGGTTTGAGCCCACCCCGAGACCTACTTCACGACTCCCACTGATGACTGCTGTCGTTGTGTCCTTGGGCAAGACACCTAACCCTACTTTGCCTGAAGCCCCCGCTGGAAGTTCAAGACTCCTGTGGACTCACCAACTTCAGGAGGATCAGTTAGGGGCTGGTGCTCTGTGTACTGGGTGCAGCTCTGACTGCCACCCCCCGACCCAGAAATGGATTAAGGGGAAGAAGATGGATGGATGGATGGACAATTGCATGTCGTGTTTGCAGCTGGTCATTTTCAAATTGTACAAAAAGGCAAAACACAAATCTTCCTCTTCCTCTGACGGTAGCAAAGAGAAAAGACATTGTTTACACTTTGTTTACGTGTTTCACCAGATATTTACGACAGAAGATACCATTCCAGATCCCAAAATATTCTTTTTCATGTTAAATGGGCAGACTGGCTGGGGCCAAGATTGATAAAAAATACAGCAGGAGTAATTTCAGTATAAGCCACATATGACTTATTAAAATGATAAACAGCATTCTAATGACAGTAACCTTGGGCTGATTTGTATCCGTTATGTCACAGTCACACAAAACATTCATTTTCATGTTAAATTAGCAAAAATTAGGCCTAATATCTTCTCTGTAACTTGAAGCAACTTTAATATACCATCTTCTCTTCTAAAGTTGTTCTGTCCCACTGTAATCTCTGCTCTTTTGAAATCACTTTGAAATCCTCCCTGCTCCCATCTGATAACCGCATTACTCTTCATGTTGATTCAAGCTTTTCATTTTTAACCCATAATACACATATCTAGTTATAAATAAATACGAGAGCATTGGTGGACGCAGTTTTCCTGCCGAAACCATTTCATAATCCATATAATGAATCTCCCAGCCTTCTGATGGTGTGTTCGGTGGAGGAGGAACTGCCAAAAAAATCTATAAAATCAAATCCTATTAAAGCGCGATAAACAAGAAGACAGTAATCCGTCCCACGCAGGCCGCTGCCAACTCAGGCTCCTGGTACAGCTGCAGCCTGCGTCTTTGCAGCCAGTATTTACGAGTTCTCCCACTCGCTCTCATCAGGGAGAATTAACTGTCACTTAGCCGTTTCCCTAATGCAAAGTGGGCAGAGAGGCTTTCAGATTGCCCGGTGTTTCTCAGGTGAGCTATACCACCAAGACAAAATATACAACGTCCTTTCAGAATAATTATGTACAAAAAAAAGTAACAATGTGCTGTAAACGTCTGAGTGGTTTTATCTGCGTCTATCTAGTTATAATTAGTTTAGTCTAGATTAATAAAGTATCTATATCTATCTATCAAGCCATTGTTTAAATTAGATTAATGTCTTCTGTATGTTGACTATAATAACTTTGCTTTAAGTATCTGCAGATTAAGTTCATCTTAAAAAGATACCCTTTGATTTGTTTTTTTAAATTTTTTATTTGAATTCTCTTTTTTGAGCCATACAAAATTATAACCTTCTGCGCCACAGAAAGCACTGTGCCTACTTACAAGGACGACAAATGTACAAAAAGGTACAGGAAGAAAAGTTCAAGGCTCGAAAAGGAGTGGGAAGAAGAAAACTTATGTGATCCCACCCCCTGTTCCTACATTTCTTTACTTTGCTTAGTTCGTTTAAGCCTGGTTCACACGGCAGGATAATTAGGCCGATTTTGGACCCGTTTTACCCCTAACGACAATCGTAAGAACGCTCTGATTATTGTAAAAAAATCAGATGGATTTTCCGTGTGTGGTGTGTTAAGACTGTGCTCGTCGCTCTGAAGGACTTCGGGACTGCTCCGATCTCAATATCGGGGATATCCAACACGTTGGATTGTTTTGGCCCGATTTCTCCTCGTGTGTGGTGTCCCCCGAGGACAGACGAGCGCGTTGCCATGACTGTGGCGTGTAGCCAATCAGAAGACGAGATGAGGCGGCGAGGAAACACCGTAAAAAAACAACTCACCTCCAGATCACGATGAAGCGAGTACAGTCCGAGCTCGAGTTGCCTGCACTTCTTTGACCATCGCCTTTTCTCAGATAAAAACAAACTATCGCCACTCTTCATCCGCCATGTTTATTTACTCTGAAGTCACGCTTGATCTCGTGAGATTTTGTGAGATTTCCGTCTGATCTGGGAATGCTCGGGGGGGAAATGGGTTTGTGTGAGATGTGTGTGGTTTGCGTGATATCGGCGTGTGGCTGCACCACACACTGTACGTCCAAAGTGGTTAGACCCATGATTTTTTTTCTCCATGTGTGAGGTCTCACGCGGAGAAAAAAATCGGACGACAATTTTAAAATTGTCTCGTGTGAACCAGGCTTTAGGCGCCAAAGTAGCACAATTATAAGGGCATTAAACTAGAGAGCTACTTTCTATAAGGACCCATTGTTTCCCACTCATTTAGAGCAGGAGCAAAAAAATAGGTAATAGTCAAGTGCCGAAAGAATAGAAGCAAGAATTTTGTTTTAACATTATGGAGGTAATTTGACATGACTTTTACGTGGCAGGAATTTCACTATTATTATGATTAGATTGAACCAAAACTGGACCAAATGTAAAGTTAAACACATTGATTTATATATTTTTTTATTTAACTTCTAATGATAAAATACGATAAACTTTATTGATCTCACAATGGAGAAATTGACAATGTTCTGTTGGGTTAAAATGTCGGGAAAAAAATCAAAGGTGGTTGTTTTCCTGAGAAAATAGATCATGCCTTGGTCGCCCAGAACCATCAATTCTGCAAGTTAATAATCCATCCATCCATCAATTTTCAACCCTTTAATCCATTTCTGGGTCAGGGGGTTAGCAGTCAGAGATGCCACCCAAGTCTCATAGCACCAGCCCCTCACTGACCCTCTGCAGGTGGTGAGTCCACAGGAGGACGGCTGCTCTCTGAGTGTGAGCATAGCCTTGATCTTTCAGTGGGAGCTTTTTTGGGCAAAGTGGGGTTAAGTGTCCTGCCCAAGGACACAACGACAGCAGTCATCAGTGGGAGTCGGTGGAGAAGGTGCAGAGGTGGGAATTGAACCCACGACCTTCTGGGCTTAAGGCCAATGCTCTACCAACTGAGCTACTGTCGCCCAAGTTAATAATAATAATTGAAAATCATTTTAGGGGCCACTAAAGATTGTCTTGCGGGCCGGATTTAGCCCACGACCCTGTGTTTGACAAACCTGATTTAGGAGTAAACGGTGTCATTTTAAGTAATTTCTTTTGTACTTATAACAGTTTTCTGCAGATTTTGAGAGCCATGGTATTGAGATTGGACATCAAAAGCAGGATTCCTAGGTCAAGGTTCCGGACGAAGAGTGACCGAGCCTTCTCTGTCCGTGCTCCTCAGCTTTGGAACCACCTGCCCGAGGAGATAAGGCTATAACAAAATCAGTCACCTCTTTTAAACCACTTCTTAAAACCCACTTTTTATCAAACAGCTTTTCAACTGTTAGTTTTAAACTTAATGTTGTATTATTGTGTTGTCTGCTTTCTCTTTGTTTTGTCTTTCTCCTTGTGCTTCCTGTATCTATTCTATCCAATTTTTTTGACTGTGTATTATTACGACTGTTTTTTTGTTTATTCTGCTGACTGTGCGTTTTTTTGAAAAGTGCACTACAAATATAGATGTATTATTTTAACATTTCTCCCCATGTTACACCAACACCATCGTCTCCAACCTGCTGTTTTGTTTAAGTGTGTGTTCTCCTGATGCGGCTCATATGTCTATTGTGTGTTTGACATTGGGCGGCTGTGTCAGGAGGAGGCTTGGAGGTCGTTCCCTTGATCACTCACCTCTCACAGCGATCATAGCTGCTGACGACGGTGTGAACGCTGACCTCACATCCGCATGACTCAGCTGTTTTTGCTCTTTTTTTTTTTTTTTTTTTACGGTGGTCCTGCCGAAGCCTTCAGCCTCCGTGAAAGTGGACATGACCGGAGGGACCACTCCAATCCCCCTGCACATTACCGTAATGGAGTCCCAGAAAAATCCAATATTGTATGAGATCATAACCACTCCTGATCAGGGGCTGGCCTATTGTCACCAGTGTAGAGCTTCGGGTTTTGTCAAATAATTCTTAAAGGCAAGGCAAGGCAAGGCAAGTTTATTTGTACATAATTGTTCATTCACGAGGCAACTCAAGTGCATAACAAAACAAGATAGAATCAATCTTCACAAAATACATCATTTTTGTGTCTTTTTTTTTGGTAATTTATATTGTATTTGTTATAAGTAATTTGTTTTCTTCAGATAAGATAAAAAAATAAAATAAATAAAATAGATAATGTATATAATGAAAAATAATAATAATGAAGAAGGCAGCGGGGCTACACAATTACATTTTTAACAGTACGTACCAGTGTTATACATTTTTTAAAACCGTTTTTATGAGGATTCTATTAGTGCTACCCCTCCGTATGCTACTGTGCCTTTTCTTTCAAAGACTGGCTCAGGAGGTTTTCTGACTTTCCACAGAGAGACTTATTCTGAATAACATGAATAACATAATATTGCATTGAAGTCGATTGAAAGTCCCATTAATTCCAGGAAGTGAGAGTGCTGGCATCAATTATACCATTTAGATTCTTAACTGACTATACATCTCCTCTATCCAGACTGTCATTAAAGTTGAGGAAAAAATAAATGTGAAAATGTTTCTAAAGATAAGCTCAACAAATCTATGTGTAAAGTGAAACGTATACAGTGTTTCCTTGAAGCGACTGGATTTGTGTTTACATTGATAAGACACACAAATCTATAGCATTGAGCTTGTATCATTAGAACAGTGAAAAGAATGAGATGTCTGATATGAATTGATTAAAAAACCAGCGTAGAAACTTTTTGAGTAAGTCTCTATGCCAAACAGGACGTCCCAACATGTACAGTGATGAGAGATCGTGCTGCAGTTACTTTTACCCATTACAAGGACAGGAACGCATACAGATAAAGTTGTATTTTTTCCCCAAATTCTTCTTGTACCACTTGTTGTCTTTTTTCTTCACTGCTGCAACATCACCACACTTTCCCTCCACAGAATTCTTCCAGTTGTTGTTGGTGGCGGAGACGTACTTGCCGTCGACCCAGAACCATTCCTCGAAGAAGCAGGCTAAATGCAGCCCCACCCACACGAACTCACTCTCGGCTTTTTGGATTTCCTTAAGGGCCTCGCTCTTCCATGGTTCTTTGTCGATGGACCAGGCCAAGTTGTGGTAGTTGTGTCTGCAGTGGATCAAAGCCTCCTCAAAGGTTTTATTCTCTTTCACCAGGACAAACGGCCCGTCTGTGAACACACACACAGTTTAATGTCATCATGGGATTTAGGGAAAGTCACATTTTTTCTTATTCAAATATGAAAAAAAGAGATGAAAACTTCACTAAGTACAATAACTGAAGGTCAGCTACAGAATCTTAGAAAGAGAGGACCACCGTCACTCAGCCAATCATGTCTCAGCCCAAAGCATCGAAGTAGTGACTCACAGGGCTCTTTCCAACTCTGCAGCATTCATCCATCCATCCAACTCTGCAGCATTCATCCATCCATCCAACTCTGCAGCATTCATCCATCCACCCAACTATGCAGCATTCATCCATCCACCCAACTCTGCAGCATTCATCCATCCACCCAACTCTGCAGCATTCATCCATCCATCCAACTCTGCAGCATTCATCCATCCATCCAACTATGCAGCATTCATCCATTCATCCAACTCTGCAGCATTCATCCATCCATCCAACTCTGCAGCATTCATCCATCCATCCAACTATGCAGCATTCATCCATTCATCCAACTCTGCAGCATTCATCCATCCATCCAACTCTGCAGCATTCATCCATCCATCCAACTCTGCAGCATTCATCCATCCATCCAGCTATGCAGCATTCATCCATCCATCCAACTCTGCAGCATTCATCCATCCATCCAACTATGCAGCATTCATCCATCCACCCAACTCTGCAGCATTCATCCATCCATCCAACTCTGCAGCATTCATCCATCCATCCAACTATGCAGCATTCATCCATCCATCCAACTATGCAGCATTCATCCATTCATCCAACTTTGCAGCATTCATCCATCCATCCAACTCTGCAGCATTCATCCATCCATCCAACTCTGCAGCATTCATCCATCCAGCCAACTATGCAGCATTCATCCATCCATCCAACTATGCAGCATGTGTTCAAAAAACATAAAAACAGCAAAAAAAAAATCATTTTAAATGTGCATTTTACTTTTACAAGTAATTTTTATTAATATGAATATATATATTATTATTTATTATTAATTCAAAAGTTAAGAACCCCATCTTTAAATATTGAAACCAATATATAAGATCAATAATAACCACCTGCATGTTACAGCCAGACTCTGTCAGACCCCTGAAGCTAAGAAGGGCAGGGCCTGGTCAGATCTGTGAGGGAGACCTCTGGGGACTTCACTGTGTTCTTAGTGTAAGGAGAGAATGACTATTGTTATATGAATTGTCTTAATTTTTTTGTTCATTATTTATTTCATTTTTAGTTCTTGACTAAGGACCGATGAAATGTATCTAAACTCATAAACAAAATAAAGTAAAACATTTTTTTTCTCACAGGACCCAAGCTGTGAGAAACTACCTCATAATATGGTTAAATCTGTAAGAAGTCACATTTTGTTCATCATTTATTTTACTATATCAATCACAAATACTTGTGCACACATTCAAAAAAGAAGTTGGACAACGCAGAAACTTATTCGACCGTCACTCTTCACAAATCACATAAGACACTCTCTGACCCTACACCTGTCCCATCACTCACTCCCGCGTGTACGTCTTCGGTGTTTCAGTTTTCCTTCTCCGTATTTTAAACAGTCCCCATAAAGTAATCAGGCATCAGAAAGAACATTTATATTTGTGGAAAAATACTAAAATTAAATAGTAAGTATAACATCATGGCAAATGTTGTTACCTCCGTGGCAGATGAAGCTTTTCTTTTTTCTACAGTCGTCGTTCTCCCATCGGCCCTCAGCTCCCAGTGCTGCACATTTCTCTGACTCTGGATTATTATTCATCGAGTTCCAGTTTCTGAAAGAGGAGTCGGTTCTGTCGGACCAGACCCAGTTGTCCCGGAACAGACCAATCCAACATTTTGTAGAATACTTAGGCTTCTGTTCCTGAAACAGTTTGTGCTGGTCCAGTCCACTCATCAGGTCAGTTTGGTATCTTCTGCAGAACTGCTGAGCCTCTAACCAGGTTTTTTGAGTACCGATCTTGAGAGAAGTTTTAGAGGACTCTGTGAAACAAGGGACTCATTTAGAGAAGACATGTTATACTCTTTGGGTAAACTATCCAAATAGAAATAGAAGACCTTTCCTGTTCAAAACTACAAATCCTATAACCTGTCTCCTCATAGTTGCATTAAATTGTAAACAGCATTTTATTCTCATGTATGTGTTTTTAGTGTTGATACATCTCTGTAACATGTAGTGTACTCACCGTTGTAGCAGATAAAACAAGAGTAGGTTTTATTACAGGAATCATCCAAATACTTGCTGTTTTCGTCCATTCCCACACATTTTTCAGCTCCACCGTTATCATTAGGCTCCCCTCCTCCCCTCGGAGAGTCTCCTTTCTCGTATCTGACTGTGGGCTGAGACCAGTGCCATTTCCTGTCTGTGGTTTGGCGTTTGGTGTGAAGTCCGATCCAGGCGTCCGTGCGTCCGTTTGCAGCAGCCTTCAGGTTCTTCAGGTCCTTCATGTCGTTCACTGAGGCCAGGTCTGTGAAGTGATCTTTGCAGTAATGCTGAGCCTCAAACCACGACATATTCTTATCTATAAAGTGGTACTCAAGGTCCAGAGACACTGACCAACACAGGTGACCTACAGGGAGAAAACAGACCAGAAAAAAATAAAGTGTATTATTTCATCAAATATATAAAAAAAAAAACATGTTTTGCTCTCATATTGAATACTTGAGGCTGAGCAATTACAATCACTTGCCGCTGCAGTGTTGGGTCACAAGTCGAGTGCGGAAGACAATCTCTTGTGTTTTTTTACCTGGTGAATCCCATATGGTCTAGCGGTTAGGATTCCTGGTTCTCACCCAGGCGGCCCGGGTTCAACTCCCGGTATGGGAACAAGGATTCAACACAAAAGTCCATTCATCAACACAAGGTTGCTACATATGACAGAGCGTCCCTTGCTGTGCTCGAATCACTAACCTCTTGCTCAACAGCCGAGCGCGCTGAGTTTCACGTAGTGGTTTTTTGCGTGGAAATACAGCTGCAGCATCCTTATCATCATCCTTAATATACAGTTGGTTATTACTCTCCTTAAGTTAGACAGAACATTTTGTCTTAATTTTATCTCGTCCATTTTTGTGAATTGATGTTTTACAAGAAATCGTTTTAAGATTATTGCATTTAAAGTAATCTACGTTTCACAAAATATGTAGAGAAGACAAATATTATTGATTATTAAAAAGAGTCACTAAAACTCACTCAGCAGAACGGAGAGCAGAACCATCCCATCCATCTTCACCTGAAAAGAGAAAAGCCCAAAAGTGTGAGGATCAAACCAGGACTGAACTGAACTGAACCAACACAAAACTAGGTCTGAACCAGGTCTCAACCAAGGCTAAACCGCAGGGAAGGAGCTGCTGCTGCTGCTGTCCAGACCCCATGTGAAGAGTCTTCTCTTCGTCCACGACTCTGTGGCACAGAAAGATTACAAGCCGGATCTGCCTCCTCTGCCCGACGACCTGGACGACGACGAGGACTCAGTCAAGATCATCCGACTGGTGAAGAACAAGGAGCCACTGGCCCGCACGCAACGGAACAACATCCAGCGCCTGCTTACACGTCCTAAGACCCTCCCTGGAGCCTGGGTTTTTGCTTATTTTGTGCTTTAACCGCGCTGGTTTGACCGCTGCAAGCTACATTAATCATACAACATTCATTCAACAATGAATGGGAAGAGAGGCTAATGTCAACACTAGGGTGACCAGATTTTCAAAATGAAAAACTGGGACATTTTAATACCAAAATTATACGACAAATTCTCACCACAAACGAATGAAGTGAAATTTTATTGCAGTCAAAATGTGGCTCCCAAACAATCAAAAGATGTATAACATTTAAACAATCAATTGTTTTGAAATATTAAACCTTATTGCACAAACAAAATCAGTGCTTCATCAGTGCAATGCAAAACCCTGAACAGTCTTACTGACTCTAGTATTTCATGCTTGAGTGTACCTTTTTCAAGAGGCTACGGTTGTCACTGATCCTTGTATAGAACTCAGAGCAACTATACTGAAAGTTCACCCGAGTAATGAGCAGCGCTTTCAAAGTTTCCAGTCCCATACGGTTTCTCTCATCAGTCCAAGTATTGTTCATAATTGAAAAAATGCGCTCAACAGGGGCATTTGTGCCAGGAAGGCACATGGCAAACTGGCAGAATAACAAAAATGTTTCTGAATGGAACATGTCTGTACTTAAAATGTGTGAACATTTCTGCCCAGCGCTCATCTGCAGGTGTTGAAATTGTGTTCCACTGTTCAATCTTTTCTGATGTGTAAGTTTTGAGAGAAGTGACTTCATCAAACAGCTCTGTTTCAATGATGTCCATCTGTGGCAGCTTGGTGGAGACATACCTCAGGGAGCACTCAACCTCATCCCACTCTGGTGCATGCTCTAGCAGTGTCCAGGAGAGGCACTTCAGCTCAGTGAATGGAGAGCCCCACTCCTGGAGGTATGAGATGCAGCAGTCATAGAAGTTCTGGACGCCTTTCTTGAACACATCCACTTGATGGCGCTCTTGGAAGCCAACCAGAAGACTTTTCACCTAAATTAAAAAACAAAAAACATTTCATTATGCAATTAATAAAACCATGAACAGTTGTTACTGTTAAATTGCTATTTACTATTTACTAGGGGTGTAACAATGCACCGTGCTACAAATGAAATCCGCGTGCCTTTGCAAACGTTTCTCCTGCTGATGATGGCCAGGCTGCGGTAAAGTATAAATCCAGTGCACTTTTTTCTTTAACTTTAGAGCACTGTGGTTTTTGTGTGTGTGTGTTTTTTTAGCCCTAGGGCACATTTTATTGTAAAGCAGCTTTGAAAAATTAGAAAGCATTTTCAATGTATTTCTGAAATTACAAAAACTGCTTAATAATGAACATTAAGGCTATTTTATTTCAAAACTGATTTATTAGCCAATTATATCGCACTAGCACCGTGATGCACCGGACCGTGGGTCCTGCACCGTGAACTGTTCTGAACCGTGAGATAGCTGAACCGTTACACCCCTACTATTTACACTATAATTTATACAACTGTATGCAAATAAAAAAATAACAGTGCTATCAAATGTGTACAAGTATGTATTTTTATAGTTTTATATGATCCATACAACTCACCTTTAAGCCCATGAAGAGTGCAGCCTTCCTCTCCATAAGCTTTTCCTTAAGACTGGAGAGGTACAGGGCAGAATGGATGGCAGAGCTCTTCTCCTTCTCCAGTTGTTTGATGGTGTCATTGAAAAGTGTCAGTTGGTTATGAATAAACCAAAGCCATGCCTCGCACACTTGGTCTTCAAGAAACTTTAGAATAGAATTAGGAGCCTTATCTTGAGACCTGAAGTAGGACTGAAGAGCTGGGTAAAGCTTCAGGACCCTCTCAACAGCAGGCCCCAGTGAAAGCCAGCGTGTTCTGCTAGTCCCCAGAAGCGTGGCATGCTCAACCTCAACAAAATTACAGAAATCTTTCAGCTCCTCAGTTCTGACGGTGTAAATGTGAAAGTATCCAAATACCTTGACAACAAAGTTCTCTATGTCACAGGGAAGTGTGTCTGCTGCTGATTGCACTGCATTGTGCACAATGTGTGCTGCACAACCTACTCCGATCAAACTGCAGGGGGTGGCTTGATCAAGTTTGTAAAACACATTGTTTTGTCCTCTTCTTGCCTTTCCTCCAAAATTTGTGTTTGTGTTGTCCGCACAAAAGCCAATCACTTTATCCATCAGACCAAAAGCTGACAAGCTACGCTCGACTTCATTAAATAGGAGGGTGGATGTCTCACCTGGTAGTGACACAAAATTGAGTATCTTGACGCTCACGCCCTCAGTCAATGTAAAGTAGCGGATTACAACAGGGAGAAGTTTTACTGCTTTGCGGTTTGATGTGTCCGCTGCGACGGAGACGAAAGTAACATCCGCGGTGTCCTCCTGCAGCAACTCCATAGCATGTGGGGCTATCACATTCGTAACAATTGCCTCCGCTTTGGTGCGAGCACAGGTAAAACGTTGGTCATAAAATTTCCGCGTCAGCCCAGCTGTGCAGTCCATTGAACGAAAGCTGTGATTGTGCCTCACAAGGTGATAGGCAAATGTGGCCTCCTGAGCAGCACGTTTAAGTTCTTCATCACCAGCCGCAGCTTGCCCGAAAAATGGGCTAACAGAGCTACTTCCCGCCTGTTCCCATCTCTTGTGTTTGCTAGTTTTACTGTGGCTCTGCACGTCGGCTTTTCCGCCATGAGCGACGGAAAACTCGCACTTACAAAGTGTACAAAAGGCAGCATTTTCATTACCCGGTACTTTCCTGAGGAAACGGTACTGTTCCAGGAGCTCTTGGGTTAACCTCGACTTTCTTTTTTAGGCATGTTCAGCATAAGAAATGTTGATCCATAGCGTTTTGTTGTGAACATCTAATGTCAATGCCATGGACCAATGAGAATCAAGCTACAGACACGCGGAGGACTGTTCATCTTTTCAATTGGTTCATATTATAAATTGCTATGGCAACTGTGTGATTGGCAACAAGATTCAGCCACTGTGCGCTGTATTAGCTTTTTACCATTGCATATGCATGGCTAAAAAAATCGGGACACCCGGGACAGAGCGTGCGTAAAAGTGGGACAAAACAATGGGGCTTGTGAAATCCGCCGGGACACGGGACGCAGTGCTCAAAATCGGGACAGTCCCGGGTAAATCGGGACAGTCCCGGGTAAATCGGGACGTATGGTCACCCTAGTCAACACAGCTAATGCTATTGGGGCTAAGCTAACTTATGTTCCGACAAATTTTGGGCGTTGAAGACTCGGCACATCACTAATCTTTTCACTTTGTGAGCAATACTGAACTTCTAAAGAAGAAATGTCTAAGGCTAGGAGCACCATGGAAGTTGAGCTGGTAGACATCAAGAAATCTCTCAACTTTATGTCGAGCGAACTCACAAACATCTCAGATCAACAGAAAACTATTGTTGATCTCATGAAAGAAGTAAAAGAACTAAAAATCCAAAACGAGGAAAAGGACATAAGAATCTTCGCTTTAGAGAACTGTCTGGCGGACCTGGAGCAATACACCAGGATCAATGACATTATTGTTACGGGTCTGGAAATCAAACCGCGGACATACGCGCGAGCCGTAGCATCAGAGGGGGAGCCAACGGAGCCAGACCTGGACTCAGTGGAGCTGCAGGTGCTGAGATTCCTAAACAAGAAGGGAATATCCGTTTCAAATGAGGATATCGAGGCTTGCCACATCTTACCGCGCAGAGACAAACAGAAACCAGCAACAGTCATAATGAGGTTCGTCAATAGAAAAAAGAAAAGTGCCTTACTGAGACAAGGGCGGAAGCTCAAAGGCTCTAATGTTTATATTAACGAACATCTGACTAAAAAAAATGCAGACATCGCCAGGGCAGCCCGTTTTCTCAGGAAACAAAAGAAAATCCAGTCGACATGGACCTCAAACTGCAGAATTTACATAAAACTACAGGGGACACCAGAGGAGGCCAAAACCATATGGATCAGAGAGCTACAGGATCTGGACAAGTTCAGCTAAGTCATTCTTCAAAGGTAAAACACAAATTCAT